TTATTACTTATAATATTACACTCACCATATATCACACAATTCACTGCAATATGATAACTTTCTTAAATTTTTTTCAAAAAACACACCAACAAATAAAGAGATATAAATTAATTATTAATACTATATCCTAGAACGTACTGTTAAACAAATCGGTAACAAAACTAAGTGCGGATCTGAAGCATTACAGAATATAAGTGAATCTCCGCCTCGATCGCGTACCAACAAAAACAACAATCATCATTCTAGCTTTAATGTATGCGGTGTTAAAGACGGAACATATCATATATTAGACATTTCCCGCCCTCGTGCCGCATCTTACCCCGCATATTCCGTCATTTAAGCAATTTTACCTACTATACTAAAAATTGATTTTATCCAAACTTTAGTGAATTTGCTGTTATAAATAGATAAAACCTTGTTAAACATTATCTAGTAGTAATAATAAATCAAGTTCACAGAGTTTAAGTAAAACTGCCGTTAACTATGTTAAATACCTACGTACAGTATCTTATTAAAAATACTTAGTTTTAGAAGTTGGGTATTTGCTATTTCAAAGAAAATCAAATTTTGTTTTACATCTTTAAAATCGCTCTATAACCGAATCCAAAAAAATTAAAACCAGTGTAGAGAGAATTAATATACTTTTCAAATAAAGTATAACTCAACCCTTTGTGCCATTTAAAAATTTCGAAGAAGTTGAAAAAAAGTGTGAAGTTTTTATGGCAAAAATTGGTGTTTAGAAACAAAAATTGAGCTAACTGAGGGTGTTTTCCAAAGATTTTCTGTTATCGAGATACAGAATTTATTCCATCAAAAGTTTTCACACTGTATAGAAGGCTGACACAAATCTAATACGGGTAAAAACAAAAACTACTCTGGAACATCCGTTCATAAGACAAAATTTGATATTTATTGAAATGCCTTACATTCAATTCGTGGACAAGATATAGAAAACTTCTTTAGTAAAGTTTGACCCAAATAAACCTAAAAATAATTTCAGTTTATTCTCCATGCTTGGGTATAAAGTGAGATCTTGGATGTCATTTTTCGCTCAAATCCGGTTGGATATGACAAGCTATTTCATCTTGAAAGAAAGTAAATCCCACAAACCTACCATGTACAAGCTACGAGGGAGTGTAATTCAGTTTGTGATATTTCTCATCTCTGGTTCCGAAAACGGACTTTTATTTGCGCAGTGAAATAATATGATAAATATATATATTCATAAATCTTTATTTTTAAAATAAATTGTTTGTTAAAAGTTGAAATTTTCCTTCAACTTGTACTGGGAAGTCCACCGATACACACAAGAACAAGAAATGTTAAATAATGTGACAATAAATATAATTATAAATAATATACCAGGCCTATGTAAACATTTATGATTTTACTTAATTAACTCGATCACTGTATCATAGATTTAATGCAATAAATATAATTATAAATAATATACCAGGCCTATGTAAACATTTATGATTTTACTTAATTAACTCGATCACTGTATCATAGATTTAATGCGCATCAGATATCGCAGTTGTGTCGGCAAGCTTTGAAATATATGGTAAACACTTCATTCATATAATTGGATGCGCACTGTCAGTATAATCACGTACAATTTGAATGCATGAGATTTTGTCATGCGCATTTCATTAACAGTCCCCATCTTCGTTAATAATGTGCTATTAACCTTTCTCTTGAAGCATATATTTTAATGTAATTAATTTTACAGAATATGTATACTTAATTCAATGAAGCTGTTATTCAGTAATAATGTCATCAAATTACTCAGTTTGCGGTATTGGTAAAATTAGACTTAGATTAATATCATTGTTCAGCGATAATAAATAAGTTTGGACTCACATTTTCACAAATTTGTTAGCACACGTTTATAAAATCATAATTTTTATATTACACAATTTGTCCAAACCCTTTAAACAGTTGCTCAAAAGTAACTGTAAATAAAATGGTATATAGTAATATGTAGTTTGAGGGCAAGATTAACAATAAATTAAGCTTAAGTTGTATTACTTGATGAGTAGAAATAAATAAATTTGCCTTTCAATTTCCCCAATTTGTTAGAATACGTTTCCAACAAAATGTGTAAAACTGTATAACGCTTTGCTTTGAAATTTTATAATTGTTTAAAATTATTGTAAAAATGTTCTCACATAAATATTTCTTGGGCTTAATACATCACTGTCGTTATGATCAAATATCCCAGTCTATGTCTGTTTACTTATCCGTGTGAAGGTTATATGTGCGTTGTCGGTATAAAACTTATGCGCGCAAAAGCAACAAAAAATAAATGCTTGTACACATTTCTCTGGCAAGTGGGATATCTGATTCGTATTAAATTTGTGACCGAGTTTTACAACTGAGTTGGATTTCTACACCTACTTTACCATGCAAAATATTAACTTATGCACCTTATTGGCTAAATAGTCTTATATTTGAATAACATATTTTTTTAAAATTTTTGCAAAAATCGAGTTTTGCATCTAGGATACGCGTATATACGGACCAAATCACTCAAATTTAACAGAATGTAGAATGAATATTAGTTGTCACCATGTATGCTAAGGCGATGGCAGACTTCAGTCATTCTGAATAACACATTGTATCAAGCGGTATGCATTTCATTTACTTTTGCTTTTATTTGTCTATGTATATCCTTCCATCAACCATATGAGGCAGTAGTAGCTACTGGTCTTGGACTCTGGTTGAGTTTTCTCCCTGCAATGACCCGGATCCCTCTAAGGTGAAGTTTAAAATAAAAAAATATGTGCCTAATTCATATTTTATCTGTAATGGAAATGCAATGGAAAAATAAGTTTTAAAGTACTTTATCGTTTTAAGGTTGAGTGGGTGGTTGTGAAATATTAATACTTAGAGTTGCGCCTGTTACCGTGAAAAACATGAATTTGTAGCCGGATAACTGTGACGTTATTAGAGAAGATATGAATATGAAATTTGGAGGACATATAGATAAAAGACCAATCTGTGTCACTGCGTGGGATTTTTTTGAAAAAAAAATTTGGATTTTTTTATACCATTTTTCAAAATTTCAAAATATGAAAATTGAAAAACTAAAAATACAGCGATATAGAATATAATTACATACACCACTAAACAAATTTTATTTAAAATTATTTCAACTCTAAATATTTTTAATTATCTGGCTCCTTTTCCGATTTTGGTACACAAGGAGCAGGCGCCCTGTACAGTATAGTCGCGCGGTCAACTCTACGTGTATTCAGTGTGATTTATGACCCCGTTTACTACCAAGTATTCTAGTAAGAACATTAACAGTACAATATTCATATGCCAAGTGAACTAATTGATGCCATTCGCACTAGAAGTACTTAATGCAGCTATATTCAATGAAAAAAGAAAAACGTCATGGTAAACATAATTTATTATATTTTATTTTGTAGTACAGGGTAAGCCACATAAAATGTTCTTCTCATTTTTGTCGTTAATCCTAAAAATATTTTCCAGTGGTTCTTATGGACTTTTTTCGTAGATTTTAAATCTTAACCTAAAATTATAATTTAAGCAAAAATAAACAGGTTGATCAAAAATACATGTTTTCTTTAAATTTTAAACTGTGAATTTTTTTGATAATTTGTTTATTGAGGCGTTTCAAAAATATATAGCTGTAATATATTTGCCTCATAAATAAAGAAAGTGCTCCTAAAAAGAATCATTAAATTTTATAATTATTATATATTTCCATTATTTTTTTATTTAATTTTATTTTCATTTTATTTGTAATTTTATTATTCTCTATAGAAATTGTTATTTGAGAAATTAAATGATAGTAATCTCGCTTGAATTATTATAAAATTTGACCATTCTTTTTTAAGTAGCTATCTGCCATATTTTTGAAGCAAATATATTACAGTTACATATTTTTGGAATCGCCTCAATGAGCTCTATCAATTTATCAAGAAATATATAGAGTGTGTCATTTAGGAAAAACATGTTTGATTAACCTGTGCATGTTTGGTTAAATTTTATATTTGAGCTAAAATTTAAAATACACTTACCAAATTCTATCATAAGATGGCATGATACAGCTATAAAATATTTTAAGAATTAACAATAAAATGGAGAGGGGCATATTTCATGTACCTCACCCCGTACCTTTGTGATTATACTGTTCTCAGTGATAAGAAAATACACTCATTTATTAAAAATTAACATCGAACTACTATTCTAGATTCTTTATTATATATATTAATTTAAAAAAAAAATAATAAAAGTAATTGTCCGTTGTTTATTTAGGGCACACGATTCCAAAATCTACAGTCATTAACCCTGCGGGATGTGAGGAGTGTCAGTAGGTAATTCAGTGGTGTTCCTCTTGTGTGATATTGGAGGCTACGGGAGGACATTCCAGATTGCGCTTGGGCAAAAAAAAGTAAAAAGTAAAGTTTATTCTTATCCTAAGTACAAATTTATTATAAAATTCTATAAATAAAAGTAGACTGAACACACCTCATTGAAATTTGAATAACTTACGTTGACTAGTTTAGAGGATTTGCCAAGTTAAAAATGTCCCACTATTTAAGAACATTTTGACCACACCAGTTTTTAATCCGTTATCTCTCGGAAAATGAGCAACCTACCTAAATAAAATGTTAGTTATCGATAAAATTGAGCTTTTTTTCATACACTTTTTTTCATAATTTTTCATTTTAAAATTTCAGAGTTGTCAAAAACGTGATTTCATGCTCATTCAGTTATTTTTCAAGATATTTAAATTTTGGTAAAATTATTTATTACAAAAAATGTAAACATTTTCAGAGATTTTGAAAATATCAAATATTAATTGTTATCAAGCGTGACAGATGATATAAATATTGCTTTATTTAGTTGTTTGAAAAGCTGTAATTTATTAACCGTTTATATTTTGTAAACCGGTTTTTCCGGATAATTGTTTATTTGATTGTAAGTTATCGTTATAAAGAATCTCACAAGATAACTGTGAAAAATGTGGCTTCATGGTCCAGTGGTAAGGACACTTGCCTCTCACCTTGGAGTCCTAGGTTCGATCCACTGATGAGGAGCGCCCAAAAGCCAGGGTTGTTTAGAGTGGGGACCGTCATTCGCATAATGTTTGTATTAGTTTTATATCGGTACACAATTGCAAAAAGTAACTTTCAGAAAATTGTTGTATTTTGTGGTTTTGTAGTGTTTTGTGAATTATGGTGCAATAAATTTTGGCGCCTGCCGCACATCTATGCCTTATAATGTTTGTCAAGTAGTACACGCCCTAATTACAAACATTGCATCGATTTAATTCGACCGATGTTCTAAATTATTATCTGTAAAATGTCACATCGAATCCGGGTTGAAAATTGTTGTCATAATTTACGATAATTATTCTTCATCACTGCAAAACCCATTTTTTAGGGACACCTATTCTCAATTTAGGCATTTCTTCTCTTTTATAATCCACGTTCTCACTTTTGAATAATTCACAAAATAGTATGTATACACAACACATAATAAATAATAATTCTCTCACGATTTTGGCGAATTCACAATAAATCACCATAAACTCGAATCCGACCCTGAATAAAACTTAGAGCTAATAGCACGTGACATTGACCAATAGTCAAGACGCCAGCTGGGTGTTAAGGTCCACCTCCCGGTACAGAGTTTTTATCATAATTTACTCTTAAGAAAATAACAGCTCCTCAAGAACATTTTGAAGAAACAGCACAACAGTATTCGAGATATCAACATTTATTAAATAACGGCAGCAGTATCCCAGTATCTACAAAGGAATTATTTGAATCACCGCTACAATAAGATATACCAACGGTTTTTGCAGTGGCTAATTCTGTCGATTAATGCCATAGATTTGATTATATCATTATATTTCAGTAATGTAATGCAAACTCGTTTTTGAAAATCGATAAGTAATAGGCTTGCCTAGAGACAATCCACAAAACTGCCACAAGCAGCTTGTGTTATTAAGAATTGTGTATTTTATAATATATTTTGTTTTGCTTCTTAACTTCGTTATCGTCTAAATTGTTTAAATTTTATGTTTCTAGGTAGGTACGGATCTTTTGGGTAGATCATTTCATTTTTAGACACCAGAATAAAAATAAGAAAAAGGAGACATAAAAGCCATATTGTGAGAAAGGAGACTAAAGTATTGGTTTAAATGAAGTATAGAAGGGTACAATACAAAATGAAAACGTATAAAACCCAGTGAAAATTAAAAAATATAGCATCAAAGCTAATAGAATTGATTAAATTTCTAATTTAAGCACGAGATAAATATATACTGCCTGCGTCTGAATCCAGGATTTAAGCTAAAGCCAAAATAAGTTGATAATAAAATTATAAAACTCTACTCTAAAATAACTAGAACACAGAGGCTGGTCTCTTTATTAAAAATGTTGGAAACTAGTCTAACTAATTAAGTGCTGAAATTAAAACAGTAATTTAAAAATAGAAAATTAATAGACTGTTATTATTTACTGTTCCTGGAAGCACACTGTGGGTAAAATTTAAACATTGGTATCAATATATAAAAAAATTTTTTGTGAAGACATGATGAACGAATAAATATGTATTTTTTAGCACGAAGTATTGGTTAAGGGATAAATGCACCTGTCATTCACTTCGAGGCATAGTGTTTGATTACTGGTATAGGAATTGGGAAACATAAATTAATTCCAGTATACATATATTATGTTATATGTAGGTTGTCTTCAAGTGTGCAGTCATATATTTACGAAGGCACTTAAGGGATACAGAAAGTTGTATGTGGTGTTTAAAACTAAATTCCAACTAATTATGTTCTATTCATTTGTTAAGTAAAGTTAATAATTTGGTCATGCCAGCTTGCAGATATGGCTTAATTTGTAGTGCTTGTTAAAAGTATTGAGTTAACATAATTTTAGTTACCTAAGGTATGTATAGTTTATACGAGCACAATTGAAATCGTATAAAAACTAAAAGCCAGCAAAAACAGTCGGCATCTCTTTATTCTATATATTATTGTATATGTACAATAAAGAGATGCCGACTGTTTTTGCAGGCTTTTAGTTTTTATACGATTTCAATTGTGCTCGTATAAACTATACGGAATGATATTCGCACAATTTCAAAACGTGGTCAAGAAGGATCAACCCGATGGTTTGAATAGGTACAATACAACGAGTTATGATTTTATGTTTCTTGATATAAGATAGTTTTTATGTTTATACAAAAAAAAAAGTTGTCCACAGGGCACGTCGAAAAGTAAATGTTGGCAAAAATTCTGAAACGTATATTTAAGTTGCCTTTTATTCTAAATAACTGAAGACAAATTTCAGTTCAGAAGCTCCACTAAGCAGTTACCATTGAAAACTTGAAGATGGTAGATGTGACTTCCAGAGACCTGTCAACTACATACGCGAGAGTACATCCAGAAATCTAGTACACCATTTAACACCAGCGGAAACCTAAAGAACAACATATGTATATTTGTATACAGTATTGAAAAAACTTAAGAGTGCTTGCTTTGTGTGTGTGCATAAAGGATAAAATAAGCAAAGTCATGTATACGACAGAAAAAGACTGTGTATCACTGTTGCCTTTTTCTGCATGATTGTGTTTACGAAGTAACGAGGGTACCTTTCCGTCTCATCATATCCCTTCCACATGTGATCCGGTACGCCTCCAGTCCTCAGTCATCACATCCCTTCCACATCTGATCCCTTCCCTTTCTACACTAAGTTTATTGTAGATAAAATAAACAACAGTGTTGCCAGATGCCTGGTAATTACCAAAATCTACAATTTGGAATTTTAACTGGTAGTTGTTAATGGAGCCTTTCATAATGGTATAATTACGATAATTTTTTGGGAACGTCACTTTTTTTATAAAATTATTTACACCTTGAGAAATAACTAAAATCGTTTCATGTAAAGTGCATAATATGCAATGAATACTGTTCCATTTTACCAACTGCGATGACCATTTGGCCACATCTAGTTAGTAGTAGGGCGGCATACGAAATTTTGTTTATGCAGCTACGCTCATTTATTTTATAATTATAAAATAAATGCTACACTGCACGAAAAATGAGAGCTCTACCCCTCTTTCTGCAATGAGTGCAAACTGCACGTGGACGCATTTTTTCAAAGGTTAACATAATTTAATCAAAACCAAGAAGATCAAACCTATAACCAAAAATCAATTAATGACGAACATAGTAAATGGTATTTTATTAAGTTCAGAATGCGTGAAAGAATCATAAAATTCCATAATATTATACAAAAATATAAACGAAAATGAAGATGATAATATAATTTCTGAAGTCGAAACCCCCAGCCAATTGTTATTATTTGAAAAGTTTCTATTCAATATACTTACTAGTAACTGTTTTACTTTTGTTTATTTATTTTTTTATAACAAAGTTTTTGAATATTAGCGTATTATTTGAAGTATCTGGTAATTTTTCCTAAAATCTGGTAATTTCATTGTTACTTTCTGATAATCAGTAATCACACTTTCACAATCTGGCAATACTTATTTCAGTATTGCCAGATTTTGTAATCACGTGGTGAACTGTTCTCACGTTGCTGTTGTCTCATTTGTTTTATTATTGCGTCAGCCGTTATCGTGGTAAGTAAAACTGGCATTTCTCTTTAACTTAAAAATATATGTTTATACAACTGAAGAAAAAAGTCAAATGATCAAGTGGTATTACGACGGTAATACTACTGAGGGAGTTATCGGGCGATTCATTTTTACATTTGATACATGGCCGGCATAATCCTTCTGTAGTTCGATATTGGTCCAGGGAAAATAAACATTTGAGTGTGCCATTACGTACTCAATATCAACAAAAAATAAATGTTTGGGCCGGCATTTTAGGTGATCATATCATTGGTCCTATTTTCATTGACCATAACTGTCGGCATTTAAGATGCCGACAATTATTATTTAAACATTTTGTAGAATCAGATTAATCCGGCTGTTCAAGCTCTTGACGTCAACTTCGGGGAGATTTGGTACCAGCAAGACGGCTGTCCTGCTCATAATACAAGAAAGGTGCAAGAGTTTTTAGACAACACTTTTCCCGATCGTCTTATAAGTGGAAGAGGCACAATAAAATGGCCACCAAGATTCTCCGACTTGGCGTCTAATGATTTTTGTTTTATGGGGATATGCAATATCGCAAATTTATAAACATGAGCACGAGCGAGCGTATGACTTAAAAGAGTTACGTGCTAAATTTGTTGCCACCATACAGAGTGTGACTCCTGACATGCTTTTAAATGTAGGTAAATCCAGGCGCAACAGGTGACATTTTTGAGCCCCTTATAAAATAACATTTAGAAAAAAAATTGTTTTGTTTAATTTTTAATACGTTTTTTAAAATCTATTTCATTTTAGAATGTTTTATTTTATTTTCGTTAGAATATTTGTTAATTTATTTTTATTTAATAGCAGAATGCCAGTTTACTTTTGCGCCAAATAGTCAAAAATTACTCAAAGATTTGCCACTGAGTTTTTTGATGCATTTTAAAAACAATTACGCATCAAATAACTAGAAATTCTCGAAATAAACAGGGATATGTAGTTATTTACAGAAATAACAGCTGTACCCCACAACATTTTGAAATTTACTAACCAAAACATTACCAACAGTGTCATCGGCTACCTTATCTGATGAAGGGTTGGCCATCCCAGCGCATGACCTAAAGATGAATAATTTATTGGCAGTACTTGCCTCGCTACTAGTTACGCATATCAATTGTCGTGCTCGCAATTTCGTGGTTTTTGGGGGCTTTAGAAGAATTTTCCCGAGTGGTCAATTCACTATCTCAGTATCCGTTTTTCTTATTAGTTTTAGATAAAAAGAATATTTGCAAATCGCTAGGAGTTTCCTAAATACCTAATATCTGTACAATAAACTGTGTGTGGAAAAAAGTGATACGATAGGGCGTGCCCTCTTTACTTCACAAAGACAACGTACAATGAGGCAACATTGATAATATAATTCTCTTTCTTTCCCATGCATGACTTTGCTATTTTTACCCTTTCTGCACACACACACACACAA